ATATGCAACTGGCCTTATAACTCCAACCCCCGCCCCCGTCCACTTATACTGTTGCTGCAGACATTGCTGACCTACATTGTGGACAGAACCTCTTATGGGCCTATGACAGAAATCTAAAAATGACTACAGCTCAAGAGTGCCACCTAGAGTGTCCGGGACCTTGGACCCATGGAGATTCCATTAGATTGAGCCATCTAAATATCTAATTCTCAATAGTCCCCTATGTGTGGATATCTAAATCTGCAGATAGGGGGAATACTTACACCAAACAAGTTTTTCTGCAAACTTGGGTGACCCCCTAGGCTTGCAGAAAAATCTGAAAAGTTAAAAAAATGAGAGGTTTAAATCCCCCCCCCCCAAAAAAAGCTGTCAGGCTCAGAGGAAGGGGAAAAGAGGGAAGAAGAAAGAAGGAGGGACTGACTTGGGGGGGAGAGAGAAAGGGAAAAAAAATATTTATTTAAACATTTATACCCCGCCCTTCCCGCAAACGGGCTCAGGGTGGCTTACAAGGGGTATATACCCATACATAAAACCAGATAAAACAATAAAATCATGGATAATAACAACAATAACAATAATAAAGTGCTTTTTGTAAACAGATGGTCTTAAGTGGTTTGATGGCATCTACAAATCCTCCCCAATGGGGTGGCACTGTCCAGCAGATGGTTAAAGCCAGTCCCACATTATCAATGCCACGTGGTTTGTGGCGGAACTTCCAGAGCGATTCCTAGTCCTGATGGTATTGCCACCGTTGGTGGTGGTGGCAGCGGCGGCCCCTATGCAAAAGCCTGGTGGAAGAGCTCCATCTTACAGGCCCTGCGGAACTGCATAAGGTCCCGCAGGGCCCTGATCTCCTCCGGGAGCTCGTTCCACCAGGTAGGGGCCGCCACTGAGAAAGATCTAGCCCTGGTCGCAGCAAGCTTTACCTCCCGGGGGCCTGGAATCGCCAAGTGATGTTGGGTCCCCGACCGAAGTGCTCTTGGGGGTATATATGGGGAAAGGCCATCCCTCAGGTAAGTTGGACCCTGGCCATGTAGGGCTTTAAAGGTAAGCACCAGCACTTTGAAGCGGACTCGGTATGCTATTGGCAGCCAGTGCAGCGCTTTCAACCCAGGCCGGATGTGCTCCCACTTGGGGAGGCCCATCACCACCCTGGCCGCCACATTCTGCACTAGCTGCAGCTTCTGGATCTGCGCCAAAGGCAGCCCCATGTAGAGAGTGTTACAGTAGTCTAGCCTTGAGGTGACCGTCGCACGGATCACTGTAGCCAGGTCATCGCGGTCGAGGAAGGGAGCCAGCTGCTGAATCTGCCTCAGATGGTAAAATGCAGATCTGGCAGTGGCTGCCACCTGGGCCTCCATGGGTAAGGAGGGATCCAGCACTCCCAGACTCCTAACCTCCGACACTGGCACCAAAGGCACCCCATCGAAGGTCGGGAGAGGGAGCCCCAACCCCGAACCGTTCCAACTCAGGTACAGGACCTCCGTCTTCTCTGGGTTTAGAAAAAATGGGGGTATTGGCTTGGTGGGAAGATAAAGAAGGGGGGTTGGCTTGGGAGAGAGAGAGAGAGAAAGACAAAGAAGGAGGGATAGCTTGGTGGGTAGGTTGAAAAGAAAAGAAGGGGGATTGGTTTGAGGACAGAAAGAAATGGGAAGATGGGGTGAGACGGAAGGAAGCAAAGGTGGGGGAATTCCCCCTTCTCTGCAAGTTTCTTGCAAGTCCCTACTTGTGTTCACTTCTATTCCACACTGGATCATCCTGGCAGACTTAATCCATTTTGGACACAAGACAATCCCATTTGGGCCAGACCATCTGTCATGGAAGTTCAGAGCCATTACCAGGTGCTTGATGGAGGTGGGACTATATTTTATACTGCTCTGTTTGGTAACAGTAGCTTCTGACATCAAAGATGGGGATTTGCGTGGGATTGGCTTGTCACTTTTTGAAAGGAGGCTGGCTGAGTTCAAATTCCATTTACCATAAATACCTGGATATTTGGGATTTTTCGTAGTCTTAAGCTTTCAGTCTTCAGTGGAAACTGGGTCCACAAGAGGTTGGGTAGGAGGTAACAACCCCTTCAACCTCTTGTTACCACAAGAAACTCTGCACATGCTCTGAGGAGCCTGCTACAGGGTAAGTAACGTGGGCTTATCTTAGTTAGTTCAACTGCATTGCTTTTCATTTGACTATCTCTGTGCTGTTGTTGCTGTGTGCTTTTCCCTGTATTTTGTTTTGCCCTTTTCCCACTCCTGTTTGAATCCAACCACCTCTCCCCACCCCACCCCTCTTTTACAACAGAATTTTTCATAAACACTTTTTTTTGGCTTTGCTTAGTATAATCTGTTTCTCTGGGATATTTCTCTTAATCTCTTTCCCGCATGCTAGATTGCATGGGTGCTATGGGGTTGGTTGTAAGGTATTTTGTTGTTGCTCTAGTACTGTGATGGAAGACTACCTTCTCAGTTGGTCAGTCCAGATGTTCTCAGGAAGTCCTGAGTGGTAGCAACTGATTGCCAGGATACTTTCCAGGGAACCTTTGGGCTGGTGGAGTTTCCAAGCAAGGAAACACACCATTTCCCCCTTCCTACCATAACACGGCCATGCAGTATCTGCACTGAAGGGTCAGAACGAACAGCAGAGAGAATATCTGCATATCTTAGGAGCACTACTTGAGAGAGTGCACAAGAATTTGCTGAGCAAACAGACCCATACAAAGAATGTGTTGGCTGCAATTCAGACATCTGTACATGTTGGAAATTACTGAAGGGAGAACGAAAAGGAGCAAAAAAGTTGTTGCCAACCCAAAGGAGAAAAAAAGTTGTTGCCAACCCAATTTTTCTTAGTGAACTTAATTCAGGAGTTTCTTCCAAATATGTCTAATTAATGTTTGTTCAAAAACAGTCCACCCACAACTACAGCCACAGAAAGGATCATAAGCATGTAAGCAGCAAAGAAGAATGGCCCTTATACCACCAATTGCAACTCAGAGCCATATGGCAACATCAAATGGAGCACAGAGCTGCCAAACAGAACCCATGAGGCAGTCCTTCTCCCTTCCTTTGTTTTCTGGATCCAGACATGGTTCTTCTTCCAGGTGGAATTAGCATCAAGCGTGGTACTCTGAATGCATTTATGTACATCCAAAAGCAAAGAAAAAACGAGGCAACCATGGTATGTCTTTACAACTTTTTAACAGTTCCATATCTCTGCCTAAAGAAATCAAAATGCTTCTGAATGCTATCTGGAGAATCAGTTGCTAACATGCCTTGTATCAAATTGTTCTATCATGTCTAGTTTAACATTTTTAAACAACATAGGCTGCAATGAACACTTTGCAGACACAACGGGAAGAGTACGTTGACAGAACTGTACAGCCTATCGAGGCATAATTGCCTCTAATTGCACCATCTTGTAACACTCACTGGTTCAATTAAAGAAATGACAGGTATGTAAATCTTGAACTGAAGGAGGAAAGAGGAGATCCAAGAGAGAAAAGTGTGGGTTTAAGATTATACACCATTTATCAATAGCTGATAAGAAGAGAGGCTGAGCTACTGTATAGTGTTCAGTCAACCAGACTGACCTAACAGCTGAAGGATTTGTGCCTTACGTTTCCCTTTAATGCCTGTGCTACTTCTCAGATTTACTGGGGACAACATTCTATTTATAAAGACACACCACCAGACGGAATCCCTTAGCAATAAAAGGGATGGTGATCTCACAAACTAAGTACTGCCTGTCTTCAAAAACACATACACACACAGCAGGATTCCCTCTCTCAACTATCATTCACCCCCTTCCAAATATTTCTGAACTCGCATGTTTAAAAGAAGGGAACAGTATTCAGTGTTCTCAAAATGAATGCACACATAAACAGAAAAGAAAACCCACAAAAACTCCGTACTCCCACAGCCAGGATTAAACTAGAGCTTTGCTGCTGTGTCAGTGTTATGGCACAACGGGAAAAATCAAAGCAGGCAGACCTTTGCAGGCTGGCAGACTGCTTCAAAAAGAGGAGAAGAATTCTGAAATTTGGAATGCCCACTGAACACCTTACAGGCACTTTGTTTTGCCTAATACTTACAGTTAAAAGAGAAAATATTTAAACAGTTCTGTTTTTTACATGAAGAATAGTTTAGCGAAGGTCCAGGGTCAGTTTCTAGGCTTTGATAAGGGAGCTTGGGGAGCAGGGACAGGGGTAAGGGGCACCAGTGGCATACATGCCATGACACCACTTCCTAGGAAATCTGAAAGTGGTGTCACATCACACTAGAAATTAGAGGAAACAATTGTAAAACCATAAAGGTGCCACTGGTTCCTAGAACAACACGATCTCACTTCTGGATTTTCCATGGAAGTGACATCACAGAATGCCAGCATGTCCTCCCCCCTTCTCCTGATGCCCCTTGAAGCAGCAGCAGGCAAAAAGCCATAGCTGATTTGACACACTCTTTTAGCAGCACAAGAGTCTTCAGGTCTACCAATCCACGTTTAAGGAAGTTAAAAGAAGAAACACAGAAAAATCTTAGTTTTCCTTGATTCACTTCTGCAAACTTCTATGCCTGGATTGTGCAAAAACTGAAACAAAGGCAGTTAAGTAACTTGCCAAAAGAAACAATCTGCGATACATCCAGCTCCAAAACTCTGTAGCAACTGGACAGCATCCAGCAGCCATACTTGCACTATCTTAAAACACAATGCTCTTTTATGTAATGTGTATGCATCATATTATATAATGGGCCTCAAAATAACTATCAGCCTGTTTTTGATGTTTGACTGTCACTGAAAACTACTCGATACTCAAAACTTTACAGCATCGATATGCATGATGGCCACACTAAATTCAGTGGCTCAGCCCTACATAATCACTGGATGAAATGCTACTTGCAATGCCACCTACTGGATTAGGAGAGATAGCAATACAATCCTCCAAAACATTTTCTACACACACACACACACACACACACACACACACACTCAATCAAAAATTAGTTACTTACTGCCTTCACTTTGATTGTCTTTGTTTGAGTTATAGACCTGAAAAAATAAAGAAGAAAGCATTTAATTTTTGGCACATACTTTTATTACAGTATTAAGCTCAATATCTTTATAATATTAAGGTATCAAAAAAGAAAAGACATAGATCAATGGATGAAAGAATCTCTGTGATAATATTAACGAAAAATATTAAATGATACTGAAGACATCAACACAAGCAACTAACACATTTTACTCTCACAAAAATTGCAGTTGAGCTGGCTTGATAAATGAGATCTGTAAGGGTAAGTTATGATGGTTGGGAAGAACCCAGGGCTTTTTTCCCCTCTTCATTTTCTTTTACACATTTCTTACATGATGTGATACATGAGGGAAGAAGAGAAACAGTTTTTATCTCTCCACTCTCTCTCTCACCTATTCCGGTGCCAATCTCAGGCACACTATATGTTAAAACTACATGAAAGCTTAATTAAAACACAATGTTGGTAAGGATGCCTGCTACCTTCAATGAACCCCCAACATGTTGTTTCAACCAGGCTCTCAGCTACTTCACAAGCAATTTTATCATGTTGGAGATCCAAAGCCTGGTGAACATTGCACCAACATGTTAATCCTGAACATGCAGCATCATTACATGCATAGCAGGGCAGTTTAAACAACACTGGACATATATGAGCAAAATCTTCTAATTGACATTTCTTCTTATTTTTATATATTAGCTGTTATTTCTTCATGCTTCAATGAGGCCTAACTGGCTTGGTACAGTGGAGAAGTGGATTAGAAGGCATCTATATCCATACAGAATAAGGATGATTCCTTTGAGCCCCAGTAGTTGCCCAAAAGGATACTGGACTTAGCATGCCAGCACAAACAACATTTTTGAAGTGTTTGCAGTGGTGTGCTAACCTAGGGCATGGGCATGAGGTGGAACATTCCACTGAATATTTCAGTTCTTACTGAATATGGATGAGAAACACACACACACACACCAAGGGCTGAACGTAAGCCCAAGCAGTATGTGTTCTAGCCCTTAATGGAGGATATTTGATAGGTTGTCTTTACAAATAAAGAGATGAAAGGTTAGAAGGCTCTAGTCAATTTTTCAGTGAATAGTAGTATCAACCATGCCCTCCCCCACAAACCACAACACTGCTTAGAATTCTGTGACAAAACGGAGTTTAATTTCTTTTTCCCCTTTAGTTTTCAGAACACAATTAAAATAATACTTTCAGGTGTTTCCAGTCTCATAAAAATAGATTCCTTCAGTAGCATCATTGCTATTATCCCACCGCACACGGTGAAGGCCACAATTAGACCACACTCAGCACCATGAAAGCTGCCTTTTACATGTAAAAAGTCTGATGTGGCTATTTCCACCACAATCACATTTTATGGCTCAGAACACTGAAGAAACCACAAAGTCTATAAAAAGTTCAGCTGTCTTTCAAAGTGAACAGCAGTGTTTTTCAAGCTGCAAAATTTCTCCAAAACACATGTACTTTTAGCAAAGGAAGAACGCCGTGACAATCTTTTCTTGCCTTCTCTTTAGCAATATGTAACAATTTTTGCTAGTCTTATTGTCTCTGGGAACTTACTGATACCTCAGTGCCATTAAGCTAAGAGGAAACTGCAGGCCTAGTTTAAAGAACAGGTGGTGATATACACTGAATATATGGTTCTTGGATTTGTGTCCTATCCAGCCCTTGAATGCAATTAGAAGGTAAAGGTTTCCCTTGCTCAAAAGCTAGTCGAATCCAACTCTAGGGGTCGGTGCTCATCTCTGTTTCCAAGCCGAAGAGCCAGCACTGTCCAAATACATTTCCGTGGTCATATGGGTGCATAATTAAACACCAAGGCACACGGAAAGCTGTTACCTTCCCACTGAAGTGGTACCTATTTATCTACTTGCAATTTCTTGCTTTCGAACTGCTAGGTTGGCAGGAGCTGGGGCCAGAGGTGGGAGCTCACTCCATCATGCGGCACTCGGGTCTTGAACTGCCGAGCTACAGACCTTCCAGTCTGCAGCTTCAGCGTCTTAACCTCTGAGCCGCTGCAGCCCCTTTTGAATGCAATTACCAACACTCAATTACAGTGCAATGCTACGTAGAGTTATTCTAGTCTAGAGTAACTCTGTATAGGATTGCATGGTTAGTCACGTATCCAGCCACTATTCTCACTATGAGAATGAGACCCATTGTTATATTGAAGTTAGTATATTGTATTAGAAATTTAGGTTTAAAAATCCCTTCTTAGCCATGAGCCTGGCTGACTGAGATCTTTGGTCAGTCATAGTCTCTCATTCTAATGTACCTCACAGGCTGACATGAGGATAAAATGGGGGAACTGTGAACCATGTACATCTCCCTGAGATCCCTGGAGGCAGATAGGTCTGTGAAAACATATGAATTCATACAGAACACTTTTTCCTCTGGTTCTACTTTATTTATTTTAAAAATTTATATCTCCCCATCTACTCAAAGGAGCACACACTTTTTCCTCTGGTTCTACTTTATTTTAAAAATTTATATCTCCCCGTCTACTCAAAGGAGCGCTCAAGAGGCATGCAATGAAAATAAAAACAATAAACAAAATAAATACTAAAAGCAGCAGTTATGGCATGAAAAACAGAAAAGGGGGGAAAGCAGCAGACCGAATTAAAACCAATTTAAAATGGCACAGAACAGACTCAACTAACAGTCCTATAAGTACAACACTGACAATTTGATTAACCTCTAAATATCAACTAAACTTAACAGTCATTCAAAAAACTCAAGCTGCTAAATTACACTTGGAAGTCCAAAAGAGACGAGGGACTTCAAGGGAGAGGGTCACGGAGTTCTATGACCTGGGACCACAACTGAGAAAGCCTTGTCCCAACTGCCAATGAGCCTCATCTGCAACAATGCAGGGCTTTGCACTGAGCTAAGTAAAAGAATGATTGAAGCATTCTCCACCTCCCTGTCCCTAAAACAAAGACAATAAACCATAATTAACTGTTGTTTTCTCCCATTATCCCCACACACACACCAGTTACGAAGCTGAAAAGAAAAGCTGCTGTTACAGCATACAGACACGTCTTCACTCACTTCCTAATTGACTTGTGTGGTAAGTTTTGTAGATACTCCACTTAAAAGCAACAACCACCTGAGATCCATTGATCTGTGCTGAAGCCTTTACACAATATACCACAGTGTGCAGTTAAATGTCAAGTGTCTCTCCAAAGTCATCGCCAAACATCTAGGCCTTTTGTAGCTAACTGGAAAATCTCATACAAACACTGCTTCATTTATTACACTTGTAAATTTATAGTGTTTGGGTACTTATATTTTCTTCTCTAGGTATGTATGATATATAAAAATTATTACAGCATTTTTTTAAAGGACCAGATATCTTATCTATTTATTTTTAAAATTTATATCCCGCACCTCCCCACTGAGGCAGGCTCAGATATTTGCTGAACTCCCTCTTTTGGTAATAGTTTATAGAAGCACTTGAAGAGTCACAGAGAAGTTTGAAAAGGTTTTAGTTTTAGAGGTCATTTTTACTATGTGTACTACTGCTTCTTTCAGATGAGGAATAAGTAGTGAAATAGGGTTGCCAGGTCCCCTTGTCATTCCGGTGGGGGGATTTGGGAGTCATTCTGGGGGTGGGCAGGGATGCCCCCAAGTCCCGTCCCAAGACCTGCCCCAAGAGCGCCCCCAAGAGTGACCAAGAGCGATTTCCCACAGCCCCATGTGCCACAGCCCCCCACTTGCAAAGAGACCCTTGAAAAGGTCTTTTGTGAGCTGAGCATGCAGCCAGTGACTGCCCCTCTCCCTCCCTCCAGCTTGTCGGCAGGCCATGTGATCAGCATTGGGCAGGAGGGGAGGGGGTGGCCTTGCAGGTAGTCATTCTTGGCAGTGGGGCTTGGAAGCAGGGCTTCCCCCACTGGTCAGCTGGCCAGAGGCAGATTGAAGCCCCCAGAAGTGGGGGAACCCCATCCGGACCTGGGGGCTGGCAACCCTATACTGAAACCAGGTCTCCCATTCCCCCTTTTTATTACAGCATTTTTTGGGGCCTGGAAATAAGGGCCTGGAACATGTATAGTGCAAGTGCAAGGATACTCTTAATGTAATTCTTTTCTCTCCCCCCCCCCCCCCCCCGTAGCCTGGTAAGACATCCAAACACTGATACTGGAGATCGGTGTGTGACTAAATTTCTGTGTGTGTGTGACTAAATTTAATCTGTGACTAAAATTTCTATTTCTTCCGTTACAGGCAGTGATCCCAAATATTTATATTCAAAAGGCTTTAATGTGACTATAAATTCTTTTTCAAAGGCAGAAGCAAAGTATGTGTTAAACTTTGGGAAGCTGGCAGTTATACAGTAGGAAACAGGAAATGAGAAGGAGGCTAAAGTTGGTTCCCAGTTCCTCATTCGTTCCTTTTTTGAGACTTATTTATGAATTCAACCAAAAACATTGAGGAGAATTTTAAAGCTCTGGACCCCCAAAATATGGTTTGGACCACCGTAAATCATACACCCCCACAATCACACCGGCAGACCCTGGGGCCAGGTTGCACTCCCCCCCCACAAAAAAACACCTATCTTTGGCCCCCCCCCCCAAAATGACACATCTACACACTCTGGAGATTGTCCCCTGCAGTGGTGCCCAGTCCAAACACTGGTTCTGGCTCCACAAGCTTCCATTTGGAATACCACCAAGAAGCCTGTATTTCAAAGGAGATTTGAATAAGGAACTGGAACAACGGCATGCCCTCTGCACCCCAAAATACGGTTTGGACTGCCACATGTCATATACCCCAAATATTAAGGGGCATCTCCCCTTCAAGGGGGCATATGTTGTTTCCTGGTCCAAAGTGCAGTTCTTCTGCCAGCTGTTCTACTTGGCTTTGGACCAGGATACAGCATATGTCCCCTCGAAGGGGAGAGTCCCCTGAACATGAGGAACTAATACCTGGATACACGTGGGGAGACAGCTAATGCTTTAACTGCAGTTATGGTGTTTCCCTCCCAAGATCTGAGGAGAAGGGGTGAAA